TTTTTCTTCCTCTAAATGGCATATATCCACAAAGCTGGTAACATCAGTTTGCACAGGTTCTATGTGCATACTAGAGCACATTATTGCTTATCTATTTCATACCTCAATGCAATCAGATCAAAAAGTCACATAACCAAACAATGCATGCCAAACCAGGAAGCCAGTTTCTCCTTACACATCCACATGTAAATTATCATAACACTGTTTCAGAAAAACATCATAGGATCTGATTGAGCCAGACTACTCCTACAGGGTTGATTTTTAAGAGAACAAATGCATACCCAGATTTTTCTCTGATTTATTTCACCCATTTCTGTTGAATACAGATGTTCACTCAGAGTTGAAACTGATCCCCTTCACAGTTTACAACAAATGGAAAGAGTTTGCTGCTTAATGAAGATATAACAGGTGCTTTATTCATGAATTTTACTAGGAAGCTTTAACAAACTTTTTTTTATTTTACTGTACTAATGTAGTACAAAGACAGAGATAACCTACAAAGCCAGATTTACATGTTCTAGTGATGGCTGATTTGCTGTTAGCAGCTGATGATGCCATGGCTAAGACAGCATTGAATCAGCATGCAATTCTGCAGGGAATTAATTCACTGTAGTCCAGTTTACCATTTTCTGCCAATTTCTCAAAAATCACTATTTCTTATACTCATCACACATCACAAAAAGAGAAGTTACAAGTTCTGGACTGCAACGACTTCAGTAGACTAGCAGTAATTAGCTTTGTATCCACCTTTTAATAAAATTCTGTATTCCACAGTTTCAGCTGAAAGATGATCACGAAGAAACAAAACAAGCTAGAACGCAGCCCAGGCAAGTCAGAAATTTGTAAGTTAAGTGTTTCAAGCATTCTTCCCTAACTACTGAGCAATAACTAGAGGTAGTAAATACAGCGATATATTTAAGTCTTAGCAACTTAGACAATTTTAGCAGAAATTTTCCATCTTATCTGTTCTTAACAGATCAAGTATTTTTCTGCAAAATTCCAAATTTGTTTGAAGATATAGCACAAAGCCACAATCTCTATGTCCTGCTTTAGTAATAACCAATATTGTAATCTACCAGATTGCATTTTTTTTTCTGTATCTTTTTCACCCAGTCTTTAAAGCAATACTTAAAAGTTGCACAGACAAGCATTCAAAACAGGAAATGTCTGACTGACTGTAGTCCACAGAAGCTTTATCCAGCATCTCTGTGCAGGATCTTCTGATGGGGTCTTTAATTACAGTGTAACACTTCCTTCCATCTGAGTCCTGACCATTCAAGGCACAGGATGAGTAAACAGGGTGTGAAACTAATGAAGTCATTTATAAGAATTAGTTTTAATTTCTTACAGATTTTTAGGAAGATGTTAACATAACAGGAAACGCATCAGAAGAAAAGAAACCATATGCTTGTATCTCACAAAATTGAATACCGGTTTTCAAAATTTTGATTTCCCTCCCCCCATTAGCATTCTAGTTGACTTAAGCACACACCCTTCACAGGTGTTTGATAACTAATGTTCCTCATTTTCTAGGTGACTGATCTGAGAAACAGGCAAAAATATAAACTTTTAAAAAAGCTAGGTACTCAGCCACTCTTGATGTTGGCAAGAAGCATGTTCTGAAGTGTTTAAGTACTCAAAATGTAAAATTATTTGGAATGAGTCACATCAGACATCTCACATCAGTCAAAAATATTCTTCACTCAACCTGGGCTTTAACTCCTTAGCTGCAAATAAAGTGTAAATATACCCCTACAGTACGCTGTGAAGACCCCACTGTTACAGCCCTGAACATCACAGAAAACCCCACCACTCTGTCACAAAAAACGGTTTAAGAAATTGGCACCAAAGAAAGTATCCGACTACATATTCAACAGAATTTTTAACCACACCTCATTTAATAAACACTGTCAGGCCCATACAAGACATAAAACATAAGATATTCAGAAAAATAGACTTGTAGAATAAGAGACATATGGAGCTAAATTAAAGATCTAAAAGACATCCCTAAACCTGGCATATCCCAGTTTGAAATCCTGTTTGCTACAATCTTTACAGTTAAATGTGTGTATGTACATATATATTTATATAATAATTTATTGAAATAATATTATTTTGTTATAAATAAAATTAAAGCAATACAAGACAATAACCCACCAAACCAATTTCCAGAATAAGTCATTGACTGCTTGATCTGTAAAGATCCTTTCTCTCCTTAGTCAAACAAAAATAATTTTGTTTTTGATACAATCTCTAGAGTAGCACTTTGCATATAACTTACATATCATACACTTCTGTTAATCAAATGCTTCACAGACACTCTGAGCTCTCACATCCCGTCCTTCACTTTTACATACGTTTTTGTAAACCATGTCCAAAGATTCCAAAAAAAGGCTGCATTAAGATAGGAATACTTAGACCTCCAGTGTTTGCTTCTCTTTGTACTACCATTCTGAAGAATAACAAAACTGACTTCTTTAGACCAAGATGCAGGGGGAGTTTATTTAAAGCATAATTCACAGATTTCAGCAAAAAAATATTTTGAGTCGAAGTTAATCACAGATTAATATCACAGATTAAAGTGCCTTTTATTAATTTGAAGTAAACAGGTAAAATCCTTTGATTTGCACAAATAAACTGGTTTGTGGATGCAGAAACAAACTTTTTCAAATTTACATTTCTCTGAAGTGATTACTACGTCAAATTAGCTTTCTTTTCTCTAGTATGTAATCTTTTTGTTTTATGTCTATTTACTGAGATTACAAGGTATGCTATTTTATTTTGCTTCTATTTTCAGGTACTTGCAGTTTGGTGCTTGTTCTGGTTCCCAGTGGTTTAGCTGCATAACAATTAAAAGCCACCTGTACCCAAACTGCCCTAAATGAAGAGGCCATCAATGATGCCATGTCCCTTCCAAGGTCTCAAATGAGGAAACAACCTGCAAACGAAACCTACCTCAATGTTACTTTATTTCAAAGAAATTCACCACATAATTAGACGAGCTGTATCATGTGTACCTATGTTCTGTACTCTCTATTTTAACAACTTCTATCTATATAAATATTTGTGAACTCTTACACAATACAACAACCTCCTCCACTAGATGGCCCTGACACTCAACTATATGTATCAAAGCTGTCTGAACACTTACACATGTAAGACAATTAAGCAAACGAAAAAGTACACCAGCAACCAGTTAAGAGAAGCCTCTGTTATTGTCATACTTGCATACTCAGGAAAAAGACAAAAAGACTATTCTGAAATAAGCTGATACATATGCACGCCACTCCCTTCATGCAGTCAACAAAACTGTTTTTAACTTCAGAGTCCACAAATCAAAAAAAATCTAGCAGAATGCATGTCCTTCACATCCCAGATGTGAATACACATTCTACGTTTTAAAAACTCAAGTTGCTTATTTTCCTGTATAATGAAAAAGCTGTACAAGTAAAACAGAACTGAGGTCTATATGGCACAAAGTAGTGCTGTTTAAGGATATGGCCATATTAAAACCTGTCCTTCACCTGAGATACTTTACCCTGCATACAGCTTCTGATACACATGGTAGTCAAACCTGTGTTTATGAAGCTACACAATGTCATGTAGACTTAGCCAGATGTGCATACGTTACAACCGATGAAAAGTCTTCTAGAATTCATTATATAACTATATTGCAAATGGTATACAAAGACATCCAGTAGCCCAATCTAAAATATCTTTCAGGTAAATTAATTGACTGTATTTCTCTTAAACCAACATAGTTGAATACATTTAGCTGATGATAACCATTTTTTGGAATAAGAGTAAAGAATACATCTTCAAGACCAGAAAATAAAAAGCTATTCCTTGATAAAAGGTACTAATTAATACAGTAAATCAGTATCACAACTCTTCGGGTAGTCATGTTTCTCTCACTGATCACTTAAATTGCTAGCTTTTTGGATTTGGGTTTTGGGGGGTTAGGTGGGGTTTCCCTCCAGCCACATCAGTCTGCAGAACTCATGGAAAGTGCAAATTTCACGTTCCGAGACGCAGTTACTTTATAGGCAGGTATCTTAATCCTTCTCCTTCACATTCTGACTTCATTTGTCATTCTATCCTTTACCCACAAAAACTGTTTCCTACTGCAAAGTCTGCAGGCAACTGATTGTATTTTACTTCATCTATAATATCTACACATCGTGTAAACGGAATCATCTGCATACACAGATTTTTAAATAACATACACCCTTTAAATAAGGAAACTTTGCAAATGCATATGTTTTCCTTTTGAGGAATTAATCTATCAGTGCAAGGCTAGTGAGGAATTAAAGCAAATATTTCTACTTAACAGGTTCACACACTAATGTTCCAGTGATCCTAAATAAAACCTGGAGATAAAAAATGTTAAATGACATGAGAAGTACTACTGGAAGTTAAATGGTTTTCCCTTTCCCCTTTAGTGTTTAGCACCTCTTCACTATTTTGGTTTAAATTAAGAGTAGATAAACACTTTTCCAGTTATATGTTCTTTTAATCTGTTCTTTTTCTTCTTTGGTCATCCATGTTTATCTTCATCTGTTATATTCAAAACGTTAGTGAAGATCTTTCAGTACCAATTCTAAAATCAGACTGAATATTTAGCATTGAACAAACCTAAAAAAGAATATACAGAAGTGTTTCAAAGCATCTATTTTCCAGGAAGAACGCTCAACAAAACTCTCAATTCCTCCATTTGTCTTCTGGTCCCACTTGTAATTCATTGTCAAATAGTATTTTAAATTTTTATTGAATTAATGTTTTTCTTTTATTTTGCATTTGCTATCTGTATCAGTTGGGGAATTTTCAGTTATCGTGTATTTTCACTTAATTCACTTCATTTAGAGTATTTTTACTATGATTGTGAAAGGAGAACAGTAATTGCTCTGCACAAATACTGTGGTTTTAAGCAGGTTTAGAGACTAAATATTTTCAGAAATGAATATCATTTTGTACTAAAATAACAACTTAATCCTACAAACCTGTTTAAATTTTCCTCTGATTTTTTCCAGATCTTCTTGTAGCTTATCGTAAGTGGGGTCTTCATATGGGAATTTCTGAATCATCCCTATTAATGAATCCAGAGCCCTTACCTTTTTGCTAAAAAAAAAAAAATTAAAACAAAACAGAAAAAACAATAAGCCTACTACAGAAGTTTTTTCAGTCACTCAATATAAAAATTTTACTAATACTTATATATAGTAATTCAGAGCATAGAACCCAGCCCTCCATTAATTCAACTTCTCCCATTTAGCTCACCAACTGTATTTTTAACATATTCAAGTGATAATAAGAAGCTGCAGCACAACTGACAAAGGTTTCTCTTTTAACTTACCTGCCAAAAGCTAAAAAATACTCAAGAATCTTCAGAAATATTAAATGACTGAATGAAATAAAGAAATGCAATAAAAAAGCTCACCAGAACACATATCAAAATGGATGACAGTATTGTGGCAATTCTGTGAGATAAATTAATCAAAACTGGGCAGAAAAAAAAAACATGGAGAAAATAATAAAATTCATAGAAAAATATAGGCTGGAAGGGACAGCTAGAGGTCACCTAGTCCACCTTCTGCAGAAGCTACAAAGCTACAAAGAAAATCTACAAAGATTGAGCTTTTAATCTCTCTGGACAACTTGTCCCAGCGCTTAGATGCATGCACTGAAGTGGCCTCCTCCTTATGACCCATTAGAACTTGTTTCAAATTGTGAAAGCTGTCTATTGTCCTTTCACTGTGCACTTCTGCAAGGAATGTGTCTCCACCTTATCTAGAACTTCCCTTTATGTGGCACAATTAGGTATCTCCCTTGTCTTCTCTTCTGTGGGCTGAAGAAACCAAGTTCCCTTATTCTCTTTTCGGTATCACATGGTCCAGCATATGATGCCACCCCAGTGGCTCTCTGCTCACCTTTCTTCTGTTTTTTGGTATTTCTTTTGTATTGGGGAAGAGGTAAAACTGGACACTGGCATTTGAAACAGTATTAAAGGAACAGTAATTTCTTTTTAAACCTTACCTGTTCTTTTCATTCGTGCATTTCTGGAGCAGACACTGCCATGTCAGTGCAAACCCAAGGTAGCAGCCAATCTGCAAATTTATAATGCAATGAGGGAAAAAAAAATACATGCAGTATATATAGTCAAAAGTAAAGCAATATATTATATCCCATTCTTCAGGAAACAAATCACTGGATAGACAAACATGTCTCTACACTGGAAAGTTCAGTAAATTAGGGTAGGATAAACGAGGGCTGTGTTACACAGTACAAGAGTCAGAAAACTTGTAAGAATCTGTTCAGCACTGGAGGAAAAAATATTTAAAATGCAGCATAAAAAGCAATTCTGCAAAACACTAGCCATATTTCATATGCTTTGAACCTTCAAATTTAACAACATATGATAGTAGGGAGACAGTTGAAAACCTATTTATGATGTTTTGCCAAGTATTAGTTTTTGCAGCACTGTCAGTTTAAGCAGCCCACGCATAGTCCTACAAAAAGGTGTTCCAGCTGGACTCAGGGATCTACCAAGTCAACCAAAGAGGAAACCACACTTTTTTTCTGAGTTAATACCCAAATGATTCTATCAGAGTAGCTCAAGAGGGTAGCATGGCATCAGAAAGAAACACAAGGAGCTCACTAAGCTAGACTTGCTACCAGAACTTTTCATTACAACTGTGGACACCAAATTAAATAGGAATATAGATAAGTTCTTAAATGCACCAACTGGGTAAGTCAGCTGAAGTCCCTTTCAAAAGTGACTTAGTATTCACAGAAAAACAATGCAGACACCTGAAACACAAGTCAGCTGACTTTGAGAAATAAAGTCCAGAATCAGAGCCTAATCCCACTTTGGTCCACACATGTGCTTGTACATACACCTGCCATTTAAACTTACAAAACATTGCTGACTCGTAAGCTCCTGTGGCCTACAAACCACTTCAGAGTGGAGTGGAAATGTCTGGTAGTTCTATCCAGCTTTGGAAGATGCTGTTTAACATTCTCATCTTGGAACTAGATAGTTGTATCATAAGTAGGAGAACATTTCATCGCTGTACATCTCTCACACCCAAATACAAACCAAAATTTTACAGTAACTATTCTTTTGGAATTTGGCAGTTTACCTTTTTCCCTTCAGAATGGATGAAGGCCATTGCTACTGTTCTTTCTGTAGGTAATTAACTTTCTGAAATCTGAAAACATCAAAAGGGCAAACTGCCAAATTACCCAAAGGTCTTCAATAGATCAACTCGATTTAGATTTGTAGTGTTGTACTTGAAATAAGGCCTGCCACGAATCCTGTAGTACAGCTTCCCACCAAAGCTGAAAAAAATACAGTTCAGGTCCAAAAATACCGTACCTACATTACAGCACTGAACACAGTCCATGTTACGACAAACTTGAGCTGAACATATGAGACAATCAGGGTGCCCCACCACCACCCTCTAGTCCTTTTATTTTCAGGAGGGCTTATTGATTCAGGCATGCCATTGTGTGGCAATACACAGAACTGACTCCATCCACTAAAGATTAATTGTGCCTCAACCAACAAACTCTCCCAGTATTAGAAATAACAAAGAGTGCAGAGACACCCAGAATTACCCCTTTATGGTTCTCTAGCCAGGGTGTTTCAACATCCCACATTTTTCCCTAATGCTGAGCCACATGAGACAGTACAGAGTGGCCTTTAACCACAATTCTGGGTTACAAAAATAAATGTACAGTCCATCATAATTTTCTTCTGAGCAAGCTTGTTTGAATGGTTCTTTTTATCCTGCCTTTCAGAAAAAAATTAATCAAAATCCCATATAGCAAATAGTCTCAGAAAACAAAACCATCTATTTAACTATTCAAACCAAAATACTAGTTTTAGGGGTTCTCTGGGACACATACAAAGCCCTCTAACATAGCAAACCTCAGACTACCAACATATCACACTTTGCCTAACAGTTTCTGTTTTACAGGAATTTTCTAATTACAAAATCACTGATATTCTGAAGTATTTTCCCATTTACCTCAGATCCGATCTTGGCACCATGGAGCGATCCGTACCTCCTTCCCTCAACAACTCCAGCATGACTGCCTTCAGCATACCCCTCCTGATACCCCTCACTATGAAACCTGTAAAGACAGAAAGGTAATTCTCCATCATCTGTTTTCATTTCACACCAAACTCACCCCGCACACAGGAAACTCAGAAAAACAAAGACATGCTGCATCACCTCCAAGATGCAACAACCCATATTTAGCAATATCACATCACTGATTTAAACTAAAATGAAACTCTGCACACTGTAACCTTTTCAAACAAGTTTATAGTAATTTGCCAAGAACAACGCGCTCGGAAATCCAGCTCAGGGCTTTAATCTGAATAACACTGCGAGCTACAAGTGCCCAACTCCGGGTCAAGTTTCCACAGGGTGGAAGAGCCGAGATCGAGCAGGCCGGTCGCTCAGCAAAAGAAAAGAGAGGTTCCCTTGCCCTTCTCCTTCCTCGCCCCTTATTCGGGCTTATTACCCGCCCTTCACCCCTCACTTTTTCGTTCTCTGCTCCCGCTGCCGGCTGTGGAAGCCGAAGCCCAAGCCCAAACCCAAACCCAAACCCAGGCCCAGGCCCGGGGCTCGCCTCCCTCGCCCCTTGGCCGACGCTTACCCGCGGCCAGCGAGGAGTCCCGCTCCGGCCCCACCTGCCCCCCGGGCCCCAGTCGAGGTTCCCCCGCCAAACCCACCTCTCCTCGGCCATCACGATCTCATCGAACATGTCGCAGCTCGGAGACGCGGCCGCCATCGCGACTCCACAGCCCAACCGCGCCACCGCTCGGCATGCCGGGAAAAAGGACGGCAAGCCGGAGGGGCCGCGGGCCAGATGGGCGCCAGTGCGCAGGCGCCCGAAACACCCACACCCCCCCCCCGCGTTGAGCGGCTAGGAGGCGGGGCCCAGTGAGACAGTGGACACGCCCCCTGCAGTCTCGCCCCGCCCCCTCACGCCGCCGCAGTGGCGCGGGGTGTGGGCACTAGGGGGCGCCCGAGCGCCGCGGCGGGCCGGGGAGGGGGAAGGAGGCGATGGGGGGGGCCGGTGTTCTCCGGTCCCCTCCGCCCCCCAGCCCGGTGCTGGCATCGCTGCGGCTGCCGTGGCTGGAAGGGAACGTCGGTGCCCCGCCGGGACTCGCGGCGCGACCCGGAGGCGGCCCGGGAAAAAAAGTAGCGGTCCCAGCGAAGCGCTCAAATGCGGTCTTTTTCCCGTGAAGCTGTCAGGAGTGGTAATAGCGGGAAAAGTGGGAGTCTCCTTTTCAGGCCCCCACACCCACCTCCTGGGCTCCGGTACAAGCCGGTTTTGCGTTGACCTGAGAAGTTCCTGATCTTCAAGTAGTATATTTTTGATTTACTTACCCAAAATGTAAATATTTCTGATGTAAATACCCAAACCAAACTTCAGTGTGCCATTCTAGACTGCTTTATTAAAACAATTATTTGTTATCAATACCGGTGAAAGAAAGCATTTATACATATTTATAAACATATATTTTAATGCTAATTTACACTGTTCTTTTCCAGATATTTAATCAAAATGTGGTTCTGTGCACACCAAGGTAGTCTGCCAATCCAAACGGGTACAGGGGGTCTGTTATCCTCTGAATCAAACACAGGAGGGCAGAGAACTCAAAAGCTTTAAAATCCAGAGATGGGTCTAAAGAAAACATAAAACTACATTAGAGTGAAAATAAAGTCATGCTACTAAAGATTTAGCTAACCAGATGTTCATTAAAAATGCTCCGCCACAGCAGGCTTTACTGATTTATATAGAGCAACTATGTAGTCAGCCAGCCAGCTCATTTTCTGCATTAAAGTGTAGATATCACTGGATCTCACATGAAATCGTTGAAGGTTTGCTGGGTGAGAATACCCACCTGCTCTACAACCACACAATCACAATCAAACACATACTTTTCACTGGTGTCAGTGAAAATATAAGACATCTTTGAAGGTTTCCTCTAAGCTAATAGCCACACTTTAAATCTTGCTTTGGAAGTTAATGAAAAACAAGTTCTTTGATCTCAGTGGATAGTGGGATTGATGAAAAAATGCTGAAAATAAAGTCCTGGGGAGAAGACTATGAAACTTTAGCCTCATTTGGGGGCATTCTTACATACCTTCAACGGTCTCATCCAGCAGGGCTCCTGATAAACTTTCTGTGCGCCTAGACTGTCACAAATTCACCCCAAATTCCTAATGATGTCTTTTTTGCACTCCAATTTGCTTCCAATGGAAATTAATCTCTGCTTTCATTGCATCTAAAGTTGCCCAAAAGGAGGGTTGGCTTCCATACATTTTGAGGAAAGAAAGTACATTTATTTAATTTATCATGTCATTCTCCATTCATATACAAAGTACACTGGCCAAGTAGAAAGAGTGGCCTCAAATTTTCCACAAACATTGTTTCAGTGCTTTGAGCAGAGGTGAAGTTGATATTATGGCTCTTGAATGAAAGATTTATAGCTTTTCACACTTCCCCAAAGTGGAAATGGAGATGCCCAGTATCTCCTTTCCTACAGCCTTCCCACTACTCTAACAACTCGTATTTGCACATCATAGCTTCCAACTGCGACTTCACAAGGAGACATTTGACACCTGACCTTTAAAAACCTTTTAGGGCTGTGAAATGTACTATTGCAAATGAAAGCACTGCAGTTGTCCTACTGTCTTTGAGAAACTATGACCAACCAGGACTTATATAGTGAATGGTGGTGGTGGTGTTTACATTCCCACAGAACCAAAGGCAATGGTGTTTCGAGGTTTTGCACACCAAGTTCCTGACTGAATCAGGTGTCTGATGGTAGGGAAAGCATTTTCCAGTAATCCTTCCATCTCAAGCTGTGATCTTGTCAGATTTTATAAGCAAAACAGCTAGGTCTGGTCAGAGCTTGGGTGGGAAACCTCCAAGGAAAACTAAAGTGCTCCAGGAAGCGGTGTGGGTAATTTAGCTCCTGACATTCCTTCCTCCGTCTGAGTAAATATTGAACCAACCTCTAACCATGATGTTGCAGTAAGAAACATTGTGCTGCTGGTGGAAGATGCAAATCCAAAGGTGTCAGCAAACAGGGTCACTAGAGAGCTCAGGATGCTGTTCACAAATGTAAGGTTGCTCATCTTTGCACTCTTCAGCAATGTTCACAAACAATGTTAAATCTACATAAAAAAATCTCTCACTGGTTAAATTAAACAGTGTACCCTCTGAACTATGTTATTTGCTGTGTTTCCCATCAAAACTGTACTTTTTTTTTCCTTTAAGCAGAAAAGTAAAAGTGGATTTTTTTGACCAAACTTTAAAAGTTCATATTTTTTTTTCTAGGGGTTTTTTAATTATTATTTTTCACAAAAAAAAAGTCTTGAAAGGTATATAATGTTCAAAGAAAATATAGTGGCTAATCAAAATTGGAATTTTGATTAAAAACAGAAAAACAAAATGCCCCAAGCCTGAAAACTTTTTGAACAAAACAACTTGAAAAACAGGACTACATCTCCCAGAACATGAGGAGCAGGAACCCCCCGGATGTGTGGCAGTGGCTCAGCACAAAAGAGAATGGGAAACACTCTGAGAGATATTTGCCAGTCAAGAGATCTGCAGTTCCTGTAATCCACAGCATTTCCAAATGGAAACATTCAGTCTCTTTTCCTGCCAGAAAGCAACATCTTTTTCAGGCAAAAATGTCCAGTTTTCTCCCTGGATGCATTGTTGCGTATGGTTCCCATTTTTAAAAGGGAGCAGCTTTCCACCCCCAGGACTTTTTATATTTTGCAGGTGGATTTTGCATAGCTGAAGAAGAATCACAGAAACCACACCTGATAGGGAATTTTTCCATTGCCCCAAGGAATGGCCTCCTCCAAGCAGCTGGGGGTTAGCACTCCTTTCAGTGTCCAGCACCTTGAAGGCTGCAAGCAGTGCAAACGGCAGGGTTTAATGACATAAATTAAATATGAAAGGGATGTTTTATAGAATAAATCCATAGAATAAATCAATGGATTTGCATGGGATGCAAATCCATGACTGCTTTAGTGCAGGTGAAGTATGACTGATGATGTCTACAGGCAGCACTCACCATCGTAGATCTAGAACTCACTGAAAAGGGGTTGTAGTGAGGTGGGGGTCAGTCTCTTCTCCCAAGAAGTAAGCGAAAGGACAAGAGGAAACAGCCTCAAGTTGTGCCAGGGGAGGTTTAGATTGGATATTAGGAAAAAATTCTTCACCAAAAGGATTGTCAAGCATTGGAACAGGCTGCCCTGGGAAGTGATTGAGTCACCATCCCTGAGGGTATTTAAAAGACATGTAGACTTGGCACTTAGGGAGACAGGTTAGTGGTGGACTTAGCAGTGCTAGATTTATGGTTGGACTCGGGGATCCTAAAGGTCTTTTCCAACCTAAATGGTTTTATGATTCTATTCTATGATTGAATAAGGAGCAATGGGAGGAAAACAACAAGACACACTCACACAGCTTAAAACTGAGCTTCACTCCTTTGTTGTATTAATGGAATAATAATTTAGGACTAGATGGAATGACCTTCATATATGCCAAGGTCAAAATTTAATAAGCTGTTTCCAAAACCCTTCCATAACAGAGAATTTTCTTTAAATTTCTGTTTCACATAGAGCTCATCAGTAACTGGCAGCAGACAGACTTGAGTTCCAGCCTTGGCATTCACTGTCTAACTTTGGGAAAACCCCTTTTTCTCTCCGTGTCCTTGTCTGTGGTACCTCGACTATGCCACCTTCCCAAGGGACACCATCTTCACATGGCTGCTGTGGAGCCAGGTGCCGCAGTTCGCTAAAGCTCCTTGAAGTCTCTAGACTAAAGGAATGACAAAAGAGTCCGCTAGATTTCTGTGTTGAAGATGATTTTTTTTTTTATTGCAAATGTACACATTACACTACTGATAATGGACAGAAATTTAAAAAGCTATCATTTGCTAAAATTTCATGATTACAAAACTTCACAAAATTTATTACAACTAAAAAACCCACCTTCAGGAGTATATAAATATAATTTTGAGCATAAATAACAGTAACAAAATAAACAGATGTATGTATTCAATAAATTAATTATAAATATTGCATTGGCAATGAAGTGCTAGGTCAGAAGAACACCAGTATTTCTAGTAGAGCTTTTTTTTTGTATAGAAATCTCTATTGTAAATGAACCTTTGAAAATGAGTAGAATCCCTGAACCCTTTTCTCACATTGCTTTTTTTTTTTTTTTTCTTTGGTTTCACCTTGGTTATTCCTTCATCAAATCGTTGCAATAGGAGAATAGAACTGAAGACATCAGACATCTGCACTTTGGCCATGACGTACTCATAATCCCTTCCTGCAAGAATGGTGTGGCTGACCCAGTTTCGCCACATTTAAGTCACTAAACTGTCTCTCCACTGATTTTCACAGATGCAGAATCAAGCCTGGAAGGGACCTGAGAGAATTGCTGACGGTTAAAGGTTAAACATGAAAATCTATTTTGCAATTGATTTGACCTATACATCAACCATTTTTGGTCTTTCTCTCCATTTGCTAACAACTTACATGCTTATTTACAACAGAACCTTAATTTAAACACTAATTTGAACTGCTTATTCCCTACGTGATGATCATAAATGTTAGTTCTGTGCACTCTTCCAACCACACGCTGAATTCTCACTCATGTTAATGAGAACTCTCTGCTGGATGATGCTGATGTCACAGTGAACATAAATTAGCCCATAAAAGAAATCAAAGATCCAGTTTTCCAAAGTACCCTTTAGCAATAAGGGAAAGAAGAAATTTTTCCCTATTTTCCCTCATTTCCTAAGGGAAGAAAAAGCACAATATACAAGCAGAATTGTTTTTTTCAGTGGTATACTTTCAATAGAAAGTTTTCCCAGAAGGTTGTCAGCAGCTTTTCAAGAAACAGCGTTAACTCTAGTTTGCGAAACCACATTTGCTAGGTTTTCCTTAATTGTGTTTTCTTCCAAATATTTGTCTTTAAGGCCTCTGAAGAGGAAAAAGTTTTCTGTATTTGTTCCTGGGAGCAGAAATAACAGGTGAATATATGTAGTAATGAAGTACATGTAGAAAAATTATAATTATTTTATCATCACCATGGTAATGGAGGAACTCTGATGAAGCTGCTAAACTTTTCTTATTTAACCCTTCTTTTCCAAATAAAACTATGGATAGCCAATTCTTTAGACTACAGGATAGCCTCTGGGCACTCATCTCTTACAGGTACAATACATTGCAAGGAAAAGGCTGGCTCCATGCTGAAATATACAAAAAAGTTTGAAATATCACTACATGAAAAGCTAAAAAACCTGCAGTATTCTGCAATATTTCTTTAAAAACATGTGTGTATGATCTGAGTCATTTCTGAAAGCTGGGGCTCTTCACTGGCGACAGTTTGGAGGTGATGCCAAAGGGGTCCATGCTGTCTGTTTCGAGCGGTGAGGAGTACATCTCTGGTTCAAAGGCCTGGCTGTAATCACCGTATTCAACAAAGTCTGTTGACTCCATGGGCACAGTGTTGATCATAGGTAAGAAGTGAGATAGTGGAAGAAAATCTTTCCCCTTGGACTGTTGTCTTTGCTTGGCACTACTCAAAGACACCGATATTCCGTATTTTTTTGATTTATATACATTGTAGCCATCTGGACGAATCTCCTCTTCAAAGGAACAATCCTCAGTGGAATACCTGAGCTGAACAGCAAGGAATAATGGGAATTACAAATACACCCACCAGACTCATTGTATTCATCCACAACATAAATCTTTGATGCCACCAGTGCTTGCCCCTCTGCTGTCACTGGGAGTGAACCTCTGGCTTGTCACAGGTGCCCCAATTCCATGCTCCTTGCAAACCCCACTGCCAGATCCATGCTGGTGAGCTGCCTGCTGCCCCGCTGCCTGGCTGCTACAGGGATGCAGGTGGGACCCGTTGCTCTGGTGACTGCTCTTTCAGCCATGGACCACAGCCACCGAGATGAAGTGCCCTCAACTGGTCATGCAGTTGGATGAGATGACTGTTTTCTGACTGAATTTCCAACTGAAATATTATTCTGTTCTTTCTATTCTATTCTATTTCATTCCATTCCATTCTATTCCATTCCATTCCATTCCATTCCACTAGCTCTCTCCATGTTGCACATAGTATTGCATTTTGGGTTACAAGGCCATTAAAAGACCTAATCCAGAACTGAAATTAATGCATGTCCATCACATTAAATAAGCCTTGAACCCTGGATGTATACTTCTCCACAGCTATCACACTTACACTGTCCTGAGCACAGGGAAAAAGAATCTCAGAGGACAGTGGTCATTTAGATAAACTGTCCTTAACTGCAGTCATGAGACCTAACAATCCTCAGGTATAAAACTCTGCGTCTATCAGAGATTTGCCTGTATAAGGGCTTCAGGATTAGGTCTGTAGAAAGGCAGTGCTATCAGAAACAGTGTTTACACAAACATGGCCAATCAGTAAAACAGTATTAAAAAGGTAATTGCCGTTTTTTTTTCACTCAGCATTTGCTGAAATTATAAAAGACCAGTCAACACAGTGTTATTTTTTCACTAGACATTAGTTAGAACTGTCAAATTAATAACAGCACAAGTTAAGATTTTGTATAGAGTGTATTTTCTTAGGTATGAATTTGTAGAAATACATTTGTGATATACTGTACAGATAGCATACTAGGATTTTGTATTGCCAGGTCAAACCTTTCCAAGTCCTTACACAAGCACTGTATTTCTTACAATGCCAGTGCTATTTTAGGCTCAGCCACTACAGGTGATTGAACTCATGGTCAATAAAAGGCAATTGCTGATTATGTCTCAGCCTGCAGTGATAAAAGTGTCGTGACATGAATGCCCTGCCTGTCTGAACAGAGAACATATTTCATACCTTTCAGTTCGTTCTCAAACACCCTCGATAATATGGAGTACAACTAAGTGCATGCATTTGGTTGTCTTTAAAAATCCCTTTTTAAACTAATCAATTAATTATAAAAAAAGGTGTTTTCTCCAGACAAAATTATGCAATATTTGTCCTTCTATACACAGTATATCTCAGAAAAATATGTGTCTGTGATAAAAATTTATGGCTGAATTATTAGCTAGCTGTCTTTATTTCTGTGAGTGCTCAGCCTCACTAGTAAGGATGACAAAATAAAAAAGCTTCTTGAGCAAGTGCACATTACAAATAACAGTTATTGATTACATCCCCCATGTCCCAACTATGTAATTCCCTCTTCATTTCATTGGGATAATCTCTAATGTATTTTTTTAAACAAGTACCAAACACACTTTAAGTATTTCCAGATAATTTTCTTCACAGGAGGAATTTATCATATGTCAGTATATTAGGCAGTTACATGTTCACCCCCTAAAGTACAGACTACAGCATACCACACGTTGAAAAGTCAACCCTAGTCATCAGTTTTGCAGTGTTAAAAAAGGGCATGTTTCAGGAGTGCAAGTGGTTGCCCAGTTCAATCCCTATACACAGTATCTGCCCTTTTGTTACCCCCCTCCGGAGCGGAGCGCCGATGAGGCGGAGCATTGCCTGGGGAGCTGCCCCCCTGGCTCTTAGCAGGGAGGTGGCAGCAGGTGTCCACAACAGAGAGACACGATGGCATGGCTACATGCAGTCATATTTTCAGAAAAAACCCTGCAAATAATGCTACACACAAACAAACACAGCCTCAGTCAAGGCATACACATTCACCTTCAAAACTGTGTTGTACAAAAGCTATTTTAAAATTTTGGGACCATTAAAGTCCAGATGGCAGCACTGATGGGAGCAGGATCCAGGCTCTGCTTTGTTTTCATTGATCATTTTGCTTTGGATATACATTAAAACATTAAGCTAATAATTGACCTACCATATCTTCTGAACTTATGCACCTTATCACAGCATTGATTAATTCCAGCCCAGAAAAGCAAGTAAATTCAGAAAGAAAAGCTTAATCCTATGTTATATACGCATTTAAAAACATCACTACATCAATATTGCGCTTATTAAAGACACTGGGAGTTTTGACAGTGGGCCAAGTCCTTGCCTGATTGAAATAATTGGAAATTTTGCCAGAGTAATTGAAGGAGAATCAAGCTGTATCTTTACTATGGCATAATAAAAAGCCGGCACTCTCTCAGACTCAGGCTCCCACAAAGCAGTTATAAACAGACTGAATATGAATCTTACTCTTCCTATTCTAGAGTAACTTATCCATGTGGCTTAAAAAACAAGTTTATATTGCTGCTAATGACTAGCTGATGAACTGACATACCTAGGGAAAAAACATGACCTAACAAAGTGGTGTCAGTGGGTCACTCAACTCCTCCATCTCTTGCAGTCCCAGAGGCGTGCAGTTGTCACAGGCCAGGAGTGGGACAGTGGGGAAGAGTCCTCCTTCCCCTTGAAATCCTGTTTCTGTTTGGTACTATCTAAGAGATGGTAGCCCCTTGTTTCTGGGATGTACATGCCTGGCAGCCATCTGGCTGCATCTCCTTTCCAAAGGAGTAAACTTGGTTTTGGGGTGGATTTTTTTGTTGTTGTTGTTGTTTTTGTTTGTTTCTTTTGGTTTGTTTTTTTGTTTTGTTTTGTTTTATTTTGGTTTGGTTTGATTTGGTTTGTTTTTTTGTTTGTTTGTTTGTTTGTTTTTTTTTCAGAATACCTGACCTGAACCGTGAGAAATTATTCAGATTCCACGGTGTGACTTAATTTCTGCTGCAGAAACGCAGCCATCCACCAATGAGGCTTTTTAAACATCAACGCGATTTTGCCCTGGACTGTATTTTCAGTGTATTTTGGCAGGGGACATGCAATACATGCTTTGCTTTCTAAATGATGTCTCCTTGCTGCCTTCTAATAATCCTGACGGCCTCTCAGGCAGTAACAGTGACAAGAATCACCGATCCTATAGAGAAAAGGAGGTGTGGGGAGGGGGAGAACCTGAAAGCTTTGTTAACCCGTTACCAACCACAGCGGTAAAACCAAAACCAAATAAATCAGCCCGTTGGTCTCGCCTGCCGTTTCAGCGCGGCGACCGGGCTGGAAATGTCCCTTGGGCGAGGCAAGCCCGGGGCTGAGTCCCCCAGGGGAGCGGGGACCGTCGCAGCTCACCTGCCCGTGCAGCCGCCCCGCCTCGTCCATGCAGAGGTAACGGGAGCTCCGCACCCCCTTGATGGCCACGGTGCGCACCGCCACGGCGCGGATCTCCAGCAGACCTGCGGAGGGGGGAGAGCGGCGTTAGTTCCGCGGCCGCGGGCCGGCCCGGCCCCCGCCAACCCCCGGTACTCACTCTGCGGGCTCTGGCTCCCGGCCGCGTCCACTCGCCCGTCGCCGCCGATCCGGAGGAAGCAGCTGAAGAGCCCGTGCTTGCTGGCGGTGTAGAGGTGCCGCAGCCGGATCGGCTCCCCCCAGCCGTAGTTAACGTGCGGACCGGCGTCGGGCAGCGGCAGGGCCGCGGCGGCGGCGAGACCCAGCAGCGCCAGGGCGGCGGGGCCCGGCCCCATGCCGCGGGAGGGGAGCGGAGCGGCGCGGAGCGGAGGAGAGGCGGCCGGGCGCTGGCTGCGCTGCCTGCGCCTGGGGGATGTAGCGCGGGAGAAGCCACCCCCCCGGCCTTTTATAGCTCTCCGTTATCAGCCCGATCGATTCGGCTGCATCCAGCTCCAATATAGAGCCCATTTCATAGCGGGAATTGGTCGGATCGGTCACTCCCCCCGAAAATATTGATCGGGTGACATCATTTCGCAGGGGACACCCTGAAGTCGCTCCCTCTCCATCCGCACCTCCGCGCCTTCCTCCCCCACCCCTCCCGGTCGGGCCCCCCCGGCCCAGGGCCGCCCCGAGGGGCCGGCCGGGCGGCACTGCCGGTCCCGCAGCCCCTGCCCGGAGGCGAGCGCCGGGAAGGGGGCCGGGGGTGGGGCGTGCGTGACCCCCAAACCCACCGAGCGGCGATGCGGAGGTGAGGGACCCCCCCCCGCCGGAGCTGAGGCTGCCCTCAGCTCGGCTTCCGCCACAGCCTCGGCCCAGCTTTTATTTTTCTTTGCAGGAAGAAGAGAGCTGCGCCTTCGGGGAATGTTTGTTAAACCTCGGGCCGCCTCTCCGGGCAGGGGCTGTGCCGCAGCGGCGGGAGCGATGGGAGAGCGGTTGCCGCCCCCCTCCCGAGCCGCGACGGGGCGGCCCGGTACAGCCCGGTACAGCCCTTACACGGCCCGGTACAGCCCGGTACGGCCCGGTACAGCCCTTACACGGCCCGGTACAGCCCGGTACGGCCCTGTGCGGCACCTCGGGGCGGGCCAGCGCTGCTCCCGGGCTTTATTGCCGCCCGGCCATCCCCGGCCATGTCACTAGATGGAGCCTGGCCCCCGGGCTGGACTCGCCTGGGGGGAGCTGCTGCGTGAGGGGGGGAGTGAGGGTGGCTCTCCAGCTCCTCTTCCTCCCCATTTGTACAGAGAGAGTGGGGAGAGGAAGAAAAAAAAAAAAAAAAAAAAAAAAAAAAAAAAGCGTGTGTAGTAAAAGGGCATTGCCCCCAGGCAGCGGCCCGATCTAAGCATCAAGCAGGTTTTTCTTCTGGGCTGTTCGTGGACTTTTTCCACGAGGGCTCCTCCCCGAGAGCTCACTCGGCGAGCGCAGCAGGAGAGAGGGAAAGAAGCAAACACAAGCGTATTTTGGTTTGCTCCACGCTTTTTGCATGTCAGGCGCACTGTAGGGGATTGTTGCTAACTTTTCTGCTGTCCATACAAACTGAGCATTAAAGGAATTTTGTCAGATCTCGGAAGAAGAAATGGGTACCAAGGAGATTTCATAAAGAAAAATAAATCCTTCCCCCCCAAAACACATTAAGTAACAATTAAGCAAAACGTAACCCCGTACTCGCAGAAACTTCTCTGAAACAACAAAGTTCCCATCAACTTCAAATACTGGTTTTATATTTTGCTACCTGTTTACTTTCATCCTTTTGTCTCTACACTTGCCTTTCCCTCCTGTAACCACAAAAATAACTTTATGAGCAATCTCAGCTCTGTGATGCTGTGCACATACACAAGGTCATACAAAAATGCAGTCTTGTAGGATGGTGGCCTGCACTTGTATAAAAGCTTATACCTCTTATTATGTGTAGCTTATGATACTGAAGTTAATTATGTCAATCAATCAGAATTTGAATGATCAGGGTCTTGCATCAGAAGCTCCCTGGAGCAGGGGATTGTATGTCACCAACCACTTCAAAAGCAACTACCTATTCTGATTGTTTTCAGATCTTTCTGATGGTCAGCTTGAGACACACAAAAAGGAACACAGTTTTCTTTGCATGGCTAATGAACAATTAATAAAAATCAGGACCAGTTCACTTTCGGGTGTCTGCTTCTGCATCCTTCAAATCATGTGCTGATTTGAGATATTCTGGCCTTTAAAATATTACAGAAATTCACAATATTATAAACCCAGTAAATAATACTAAGACATCTGAGAGCCTTTTTTTTTTTTTTTTTTTCCCTCTACAGAATTCTGCAATGTTATTACATGGCTGCTACAAAGGCAGTTCTCTGCCCTGCAACCCTGGGCCCCACAGCAGTTGTGCGTGTAACTCATCCAGGCTACATATGCATTCTTCAAGGTATTGAGCATCCACCACACACAGAGGTTATGGTCTGAAATGAATCTGAAAGGCTTTTTTAGTTCATGTTGTTGTGCATCTCAATGAATAGAAGCTATTTTATGATTACTCTTTCTGCCGTACTATAATGTGAATAAAATTCACGATCACAAGTATTCATTTTCTTCGTCAAGAAGTCAAACTTCTTTCAAGTGATAAGGAATTGATGCTTGCAACTTTTTTATTCATTTTGACAGCATTATTAAACCCTTGTGAAGATCAAACATTGAGGCAGAAAAGGCAAATCATTTGTACTAAATGCTATTTCAAATCAGTGTAAATCTGGCTATAAGTAAGAATTTCCTAACAATTGATGGAGAGCTTTTAAAAGATATTTTAATTGTTACTGGTGCTGATGTTATACGGACTGATGTTTAAAGGTTCATATCTAGTCAAATTAAAATGAAAATGAAGCACTTCACTAATTTTTTTGAATGGTCTCTGTTGTTATAGAAAACTTTCAATCTAAATAATTTGTCCAAGCTATTCTGTAGTCAGTGAAGGAAGTGAGTCCCCCCAAGTGCTTATCTGGACTGCATAGTGCCAATTCTATCACAAAAGCGCTGTTTAAGAGATATGGGTTAAATAATCTCTGGAAGTGCCTATTTCTTCATTGGCTCTGGAAGAAAAGCCTAGATGATTAACTCAAATTAAGTACCTTATTTTAACTAGATCTAAATGAGCTAATGAAGCTCACTGTTTTAAAAATGTAAGAGTTGCAACATGTGATTTTAATTTCGGTTCCTATCTGTGTCACTGAACTTTATCATTTATTGGCATCTTTTTATCAAAGTTCAACAGACCATGTTCCTTTGCATGTTCCTACAAATCTATTTACAGAAAAAAATTTATTTGCAGAACAATGTATTATATGGTAAATCACACCACCACTTCCAGCACTGGACCTGCTCCCTCTATAAATAGAGCCTGCAACAAGGAAATCTGGTAGTGTAGGGCTTTTTGTGTTTATTAAAAAAAAAAAAAAAAAAAAAAAAAAAAAAAAAAAAAAACACCAGGAGGAAAGTTTTGTAGAACAAAAATACCTCCTGACAAAATAGTACACAATTGCAAAAGTATTTTCACCTGTTGTAATTAATCATTTATTTACACTGCACTTTTCAATGTCCCAATGTAATTTCTGCAGAACAAGAACTTCAGATTTCTGTAACACTGAAGATGAACTAAATGTGTTTTGGAAGAACATAACTAGCTATATTTAGAAGTCAAACATTCAGAGATTCTGGAACATATCAAAAAGATAACAGAGGGCTTGTGCCTCACTGGGCAATAACATCATTGGAACCAACTGAAATGAAACCAAGGAAGATGGCCACAAAAAATGATCAGAAGTAGGGCATGAAGAACCCCATGTGTAGAAGGTTGTCATAGCTGACTACATTGTGGTGGAGATCAAAGGAAAAAATACATGGGTAAGTCACTAGAGACTGAGTGAGGGTCGAAATGAGATGAGCAAGTTGGTTTTCAGATAAAAATATATCTGCTCAATAGTTGAATAACTTCAGAATATTGTGGCAAAAGCTTTGGGTACAAGTCATTGCAGAAAGAGGAAAATAGTACAGAAACTTTAAAGACTTTCTGCTTCCTTTTGGGTGTCTTTGAGATCTCCCACAGATTTAGGAGTAGGAATTACATGAATGTAATCCAGTGTTACTTTTGAGAAGAGATTTGTAAGTCTTTTCCCTTTTTCTCTGAAGTCGGAAGTGGGAGAATTAGAGAGGCTGTAAATACTCTGAGGTAAGCAAGGTCCCACGTAGAGCTAGAGATGTTAGCACTAATTCCTTTGGTTTCTGATTTCTGCTGTGGTTCCTGCATGTCATTCCAGAAGTGACAACAAAAAGAAAGCCTTTATTTTCCCTGTGGCAGAGGGCCAGCAGAACAGTCCGGTCCTTTCTCTTGCTTCTGGTAGAGAAGAGTATGCCAGGCAAATGAGGGAAGGCAGAAGTGAAGACATAGTACACTGCGATACGTGGTTATTTGAGCAGGAGGTTGTTCTATAAAGAGCCTTATCAGCACAGCACAAGTTAAAAAACCTGCCTAAGAAGGAGAGGTTACTCCATCATATGTCAAGGACTGCTCTGCTTCCCAGCTGCTTCTGCAATCCAAGAGGCATAAAGGTGACAATATTTCTCCCTGGGCTGTGAATGAGTGCAGAATTGAGATTCTACAGCTCCCGCTGTGTGCGCCCACTGACAGGATGTCATATGATGGGACGCACATATACAGAGGCTCTTCCCAGATATCACAAGTATAATAGTCCCCAGTGAATCTGTAGGATGCAAATGCATCAGATACTTAAAGATTTTTCAAATGACCAACTTCTGGAGAGGTTCCTCTTCTAAGAATGCTCTGCTAAAGAAGGTCAATGTGCTGGAGAGATCGTTGCTACTGTAATTTGTAGTTGCATGTGTTATTTCTGGTTCTTTCCAATGAACACAGCCAGTCAACTAATTTCAAATATCTCTCACCATTCTGTTATCTAATGCTTTCTTAATTATTGCTATCAGTCAATGCATTCCTGAGAGCAATACTTAGCTTGGAATTGTCTTGAAGCTTTCATGGTCAGATGATATCTTCTGATTAAGTCTACCCTAAAGCTCACAAAACTCCTGTCAACTTCAGATGGCCTAAATGCATTTTTTCATCACTGTAAGTCATTATTGCATACTTTGGAAATACTTAATCCACCCCATCTTTTCTATGTGCTGTGAAAACCTTTGTAATTCTGGTATAGAAGAAGCCTCATTGATTTTCTGGGAACATAGTTGGCACACTAGCTCTCCAGCACCTTATCTACACTAACTCAATGAAAATTATTTTTTGAGCAAACCTGCATCCCGCAGCAGAAATTAATAATTGCAGGTTTCTTTGTCAGTAGGTTACATTTTCATTTCTAGCTTGATTTAAGGAGTAATGCTCCTGCACTTTGTTTATGCAATGTGTTTGTAAAAACCACAAGGAAAGCTTTTTCGGAAAAGAATAATTCTAGACAGCCATCTTCTCAGTCAAAAGTGGTATCCATGGAGCATAATGTTGCCTTCATGACAAGTTCCAACTCCATTGGAAATGTTTTTCCTTTAATAGACAAAGAATGGGCCAGCAAAAGAAGATATACCACAAAATGAACGAAACAAATATGTTACCAGAGTTTTGCTTCAAACTTACAGGAGTGCATACTCAGAGCTGT